CAAAGAAACCCAAAATAACTTTATCCAAAAAAACCCCAGGTGGAGAGAAAAGAGCAGCGCTTCTCATCCCAAATCCACTCAGGAGCCCACCTGCCCAGTGTCCTGCACACAGCGGCCCCAGAGGGACCGATCCTGCCATAGCCCACCCGAGGAGGTAAGCCAAGGAGGCCTCACCTTGTAGCCGTTCTGTTCCCCAAAATTAAAGATGGTGGCTCTTCGTTCTCGGGTGGTATTTGTTGCATCAAAAACCTAGGACCAAACTGGGGTTAACTTGGCCTCTGGCCCTGGAGAAGGTGGGAGGAACCAACAGCTGCAGCACAGGGACTGCTCTTCTCACCAGTACCAGCCGCTGTCCAGCCCCCGCCTGGCCAGTCTCCTTCAGACCTGCAGCAGCTGGGCGGGTCCTCCCCTTCCCCGGGAGCAGGCCAAGGACACTGGAAGAAGAGGGTGCCTATGCTCCCAGCAGTGCAGCAGGCACTCAGCTCATGTTTGAGCAACAAGACTTTCGGGGAAACCAGTCAAACCTGGAGAACTGAAGCCACGTTTACTTCCACTCCAGCCTGAGACCCCAGTGAAATGGGAACAGTAGGACAAAGAGAATACGAGAGGAGAGGAGATGGGAGATGTCAAGAGACTGAGAGCAACAGAGAAAAGCAAACACAAGCCTTCACCAGCCAGAGCGCACCTGCTCGTGTGGAACCAAGAGAGTCAGGAATAGGGCACAGGCATCTCTGAAAAAAGGGACAAGTGTGTGGAGGAAATAGGGGGACTGGCTGGCAGTGCAACAAAGAGCAGGTGGGGCCTCGGGTCCCTCCTTTCCTCCTCCAGCCAGGCTCTGCGCCCCCGGGGCCCGCCCAGTACCCTTCTGTGCAGCCCACCCACTGCACACCCAAGCAGCTTCCAGAGCATCACTTCTTAAAAAGGGCGTTCGACCAGGGCTCGTGGGATACTCCAGCAAAACCTCTAATGTGCAAAACAGAGACTCAATCAAGCAGAATAAAAGGAACTTCAAGAAATGAGGACAAGTCACAGAACAGAAGGAAAGGTCAAAAAAATGGTAATTATTATCTAAAGAGAGATATAAAATGCTATAGTAAGCACAAAGCAGGAACAGAGTTCTAAAAAAAACTGGAACATTCAGAGAATAGGACATTTAAACTTTGGAAATTAGAAGGTGATCACAGGAGTTTTGGGGTTTTTTTTAATTCAGCCAAACACTTCTAAGATCATCTTGAGGAAGTTTCCCTGAAAGTAGAACAAAAAAGACAAAAAGATAGAAAATAAGCGAGAAAAAAGATACAATTGGGGATCAGGTCTAGCATGTAGCCACCAGGAGTTCCAAAAAAAGCAGCTCAGAAAACAGGAGCGGAGTGAGGACTCAGGTGTGAGAAAGCGGCAGGGGTGGTTTATCAAAGTAAAATATAAAATATACGGTTATTTCCCTGACCTGATGGAGAAGATTTTCCTGATGGAGGGGGCCTCCCAGGGACCCAGCCTTGCAGAGAAGACCCACCATAAGGCACATCACCTTGAAGACCCTAAAGGCTACCCCAAATACAACACTGCAAATCAATTATACTTCAATTTAAAAAGTTAGTAAAAAAAACAAAAAACTTTAAAGGCTTCCCCAGAGGAAGAGACACAAGAAGCCCCCAGTTGTCTCTAAGAGGTGTTTTAAGGAAGATCAGCAAACCAGATTGACATCAGACTTTCCCACAGCCACTGTAGTGGCCATCATACCACAGAGCAACGCAATGGAAATTCTAAAGGACTGGACTTGCTACCGAAGGAAGTGCCCCAGCAAAACGAGTCAGTAAACCAAGGAAAAGGAAGTCATGGGATCCAAGAGCAGGGCATTAAACTCAGGAGGGAAGAGAAGGAAATTCCCAGGGTGATGGCTGTGGCAACTGATCCAGATGGAGCTGAGAGACGGAGAGCTGCGAGACGGAGAGCTGCGGGATGCACATCTTCGAGAGGGAAAGAGAAGTGTTTGACTGCATAGGGCTGGGGTAGGGCCCTTTCCCACAGGCACCCTTGCTCAGCCTTGTACCACTCATCCATCTGACTGGTGGGGCCAACACGAAGGTGGAACTCCCTTACCCTGCATTCAACTGGTTCCTGGAACCACCATCAAGGGACGGGCGGGTTACTCCCCACACCAGGCAAAATCACATTTGCTAAAGACTTAGGTAACGTGACGCCTCTAACTTGCACAGCATTCTGAGGGAACTCCTGCAGGGTCACACAGGACCATAAGCCCAGAGGGAAACTCCTGGCCCGGGTGCAGCCTCTGGCTTCCTCCTGCAGAGCAGCTGCGGACTTCTTCGCTGGGCTGGCTCCCAGGGGCATCAAGGGCCACACACACCCTGCCTTCCTCTCCCAGGTGTCACCAGGGTATTATACTCACCGCCACGTGTCCCCCCTCCTCACTAAGGAACCGCCGAACGTCGCGGAGGGCTGCCAGGGCACACTGCCTTCAGGAAAGACAAGGTGGGATCAGCCAAGCACCTGACTGGCTGCAGAAGGGCAGAAAGTCAGGTTTATACCCCACACCACATGGGAGAGGGGACAGCTCCTGGGGCCCCTTCTCTCTTCTCGAGGTTTGCCTTCCTCTGGGAAGATTTTCAGTGTTTGGTAACTCTGCTCCTACAGGGAGAAGGCTACAGGTGTGTCCCCAGCCCTTGGGAATACTTTTTGAAATAACACTTTTCTGGACTTTCCTTCCTCATTTCATCTCTCACAAATCCAGGCTGCAGGTTTGCCCAATTCGTGATTTCTTAGAGCCATGCATTTTCCCCGTTTATCAAAACCAGCATTTTTAAAACCAGACACTCCCTTGTGGTGTGTGTTGGGGGCTGGTGGTGGGAGAGGAGGCTATCACTGGACCCCAGGGCAGCATCAAGCTTCGTGTTCAATTTTCTCTCCTAGCAGGGAGACGTGGACTAAGAATGCGGCCTGCCACATCATTTATAATAAACTGTTCCCTTTATAATAAACTGGTAAACAGAGCTCAAGTATGTTCCTGAGCTCTGGGAGCTGGAACAGTCATCTGCTCTAGCAAATTACTGAACCTGAAGATGGGCTTGTGGGAACCCCCAGTTTATAGCCAGTCAGTCAGAAGTCTTTGGTGGCCCCCCAGGGACTTGTGCCTGGTGTGTGATGTCCGGGCAGTCCTGAGGGACTGAGCCTCAGCCCGTGGGAACCGACGCTAACTCCATGTAGACAGGCCAGAATTGAACTGAACGGCTGGACACCAGTTGGTATCGCAGAACAACTTGGTGACACAGGAAAACAGCCCAGTGTCCCCAAACTCTCCTGTGTAGCATGTGACTGAAAAGGCATAGGTATGATTGAACGTGAGCATACAGGGTGTGTCTGTGCATGCACCCATGTGCACGATTATAGGTTTATGTATGTGTCCAAACACGTGCATGGAGGATATCAACATGTGTGAATGCCCACGGGCACACCTATGGTGTGCGTGCACGCCTTCCCACAGTGCGTGACTGTGCGTGCATACACAGGGCATGCTTGCTGTGTAATTATACACACACCCACATGTGTTTATAGAGTGAGCACACATGTGTACGTGTCCACACTTGTGCCTCTGAGACCCGCAAGTGTGTGTGTATAACAGGTATGATGTGTGTGTGCACCCGCCCTCATGAGTGTGTGATGGCGGGGCGAAAAGAGGTTACCTAGCAGGCCTGAAACTCCTGCCCTTTGAAAGGCCTGCTGGCAAGGTTGGCCCTTGACTGGAGTCTGGGAACTGAAACAGTTCCCTACACCAGTGAACTTTCCCTAAATAACGAGAGTGGGTCTCTGTGTCTCGACAGTTCACGCAAACAATACGCTTTTTGCCGAACACCTGCTTTCCTTTTGGGATTCTCGAGTTTTGGTACACGCTAGGCACAGGGTGCCTACCTGACCAGCCCCAGTAGGAGCCCTGGGCATGTGTCTCTGAGGAACTTCCTGGTAGACAACGCTTCACGTCGTGTTGTCACAATTCGAGGCTGGAAGAATTAGGTGCATCCTATGTGACTCCGAGGGGAGAGGATTCTTGGATGCTTGCACCTGGCTCCCTCTGGACGTAACCCCACACACCTTTTCCCTTTGCTGATTTTGCTTTGTATCATTTGGCTGTAAGAACCTTAGCCAGGAATACGACCACATGCTGAGTCCTGTGAGTCATCCTAGCATATCAGCACTGCCATGCTTGAGTGCATTATGAGGTATGCGAGGGTGTGTATTCGCCCTTGTGTGTGACATGACTGTGCGTGCATGAGTCTGAGTATTTATATGTGCAGGTGGCCACACGCGTGGATTCTCCCATGTATAGCGTGGCTGTGTACACATGGGGCTGATGTGCGGTTGGAGATGGCACACATGAGTATGAATGTGCCCGGTGGTGAATGTGTACCCATGACTTGCGTGTGCACATGTGGCATGCATGCCCTCTTCTAGACCTCCCACCATGCCCAGAGTCGGACAGACCTCCACACTGTGTAGTTCTAGGAACCTCAACAATGTGTAAGTACCTGGATCTCTGGGAAATGCAGGCATCTTCCCAGGTTTCCCACTTTTGAAAAGTCTGATCTTTCTTTTTTGCCAAGTATCTCTGGGACATTTCAGGCTGGTTAACGGGAAATGGTCCCACGGCCCAGTGGCCAGACTCAAGCTTTGGATACAGGAGGGAGAGTCTCTAGGAACAGCCAGAGGGTGTGGCTACAAGAGAGGCACGTGTGAACCTGCCCCCAGCTTATACTGCTGGGGCCACTGTTCCAGCTGGGTGATCTTGGACAAGCTCCCTAACTTCTCTGAGCCTGGATTTCCCCATGTGAATTAATCCCTGTTCCTGCCTTCGATGGGCAGTCAGAGCAGAATGACTGGCGGGCTCTGGCAATGCTAGCTCCCTCATTCTCCCCACAAACACTCCGGATTCAGACAAGCCTGGCTGCAAACTCTGAGTGATCCCAGACAAAACCATCACTTTCTGACCTCAGTCTCAGCATTTGGGGTAGTGAGGCACCACCACACACTGCAGAGATCACCCCACTGCAGAAATCAAATCAGCTAATGAATGTCCACAACTTGCGGCTGTTGCAGAATTTGCATCTGATAAAACGTTTGACCTACTAATTGGGTAATACTGGAATAATGGGCAGAACAGTTTTAGTGTATATGTGCTTAGGTTTAAGTCTGGGCTCTGTGAAGTAATCTGGTATTCTGTGTGAGACCTCTGAGCTTCAGTTTCTTCATCTGTAAAATGGGAGGGGTGGCAATAGGCACCACACACCCAGCACACAGTAAGAGTTCAAGTGTCAGTCCCTCCCTTTTGTCCGGATCGATCTCTCACCAGAGAGTCCAACCTGGAGTTTTACTCACAATTAGGCCCCAGAGACAGAATGTCAGGCTTTCCCTCCCTTCTGGTGCAGCAGCTGGCCCAGCCCCATGGACCCAAGAGCAAAGGTGCTGAAGGGCCAAGCCTCACGGTGGGGGAGCTCCTGCCCCCTGGTGGCCAGAGAGGGAGCAGGCTGACCTCAGCAATAGACAGGTGGTTTCCGGCGTGGGGCTGTGCTGGGTTTGGGGAGGTCCCTAGAGCTGGGCCAACCTCAGCTCGGTGCCCTCACACAACGGCTGGGCCCAGAGCAAGGGAAAGAAGCTTACTCTTCAGCTGACACCTGCCAAGAAGAGCACAGTATAGCTCCCCACACGACAGCTGGTGCTCAGTTTCTCTGTAGAAAGCACTCAGTTCAAGTCTGAATGGAGAGGGGAGGAAGGGCCGGTACTATATGCAAATTTCCATCTCGTGAATAACAGCGAAAGTGTGAACTAGTCACCCGGCAACACTGAGGCCACTTCAAGGCAAAGCGGGCCTACCCTACAAGGTCAATAACATGCCAAGCCTTCTCCAGACACACAGGAAGAGACTTATCCTGGGCCTGATCCTTCAGAAGATGTCAAGAGGTGGTCCCAGTCCCACTCTGCCCCACCCCTGAGGCCTGTGTATCTCTGCACTACCTCGGGCTCCCCTCCCTATCAGAGGCCATCCCCACAGAGGGCCTGGGGTAAGCAAGCGTGGCCTCTATGCAGCAGACCTGCCCTGACTAAGCCTCTTCCCTCTCCCTGAAGCTCCATCCCCGCCTCCCACAGATATCATTATCAAGGGCTCATTAACACCAGGAAGGGGGGGGGTGAGCCACCAAGAGGCCACACACCCTCTCCCCTTGTCACCAAACCCATCATATCTCCACCCCCACCATGTCCTGAGAGGTCAAGAGACCAGCCCCGTCAGGGGAGGCCAAGGCCAGGGCTCAGGAGCAGCCAGCACTGGGGCTCCAGGGCCTTCCCTGCAGACACACATACATATACACATACACTCACTTCCTGATTTTCAGGCCCTCTTCATTGTCTGGAAGGAAAAACTCAAACGACTTGTATGTCTTGACCATGTTCCGGCGATACTGGCCAACGTTGAATTCTAGGGGAAAGGAGAGGCTCAGCTTCACACAACGGCTTCCCTCCCTAACCCCTGACCTTGACCCAGGCCCTGCTGCAGTCCAGTCTTCTCACTCCTCCCCCACCCCACCCCTCAAAGCCCCCTTGGAAAGCCAGGGCCCCGCCTCACCTCGCGTGGGCACACCAATCCAGTTCAGGTAGCGAGTCAGCTTCTTGGAGATATAGGTCTTGCCCCTGGCAGGCAGCCCCACCATGACAATGAGCGTCGGGCAGTTGGTCATGCAAACTGAAAGGCAAGGAGCACAATGTCCCATGAGGCTGGGACTCCTGCCAGACGGCCCCTCCCTCTCTGCCCAGGGTTCCTCAGCCTCAGGGCACAGGACCAGTATCAGATGTGCCTTCCTAAGGTCCTGGCATCAGCGAGCCCCCTGAGCAACCCCAGACCATGGTCCCAAGACACTGCTGGCATGCCCCACTCCCCGGGCCCATCTAAGTTCCGGCAGACACAGCAGGAACTTGCCAGCCCTTATCCTGATGTGCACCACTAGATACAAAGCTGGAGCTGCCACGCCCCTGACTAAACACTGCTGGGGAGTTCCTCTAGCATGCAGGACAGAGCCAAAACCCAGCAACCCAGCAGGGGATTCAATGCCCACCTGTCATCCAGGAGTCCACGTCCCCATCCCAAGAGTCTTTTAGTATTCCCGCCAGCACGGTGCCACCACTTATACTCCCTGAGGTGAATTTCTCTTCATCTACGAGGCCAGGCTTGAAAGCTCAAAGAGTCCTTCCTCCAAGGCACCTCCACGCCTACCTGGTGAGCCCTCTCCCTCAACATAGTCATCTCATCAATGGGACTGCTCTCCACACTGACCACTTGGAGGGAAAGCAGCCCTGCAGTGTCTGGGCCATTCAGGATCCTGGGGTCCAGCCCAGAGTGGGTACCCAAAAATTATGGGCAGGGATCGGGAGGGAGGCATCTCAAAACCCACCAGGGTGAGGGCCTCAAGGGGCTGGGATCAGAGACCCAGGCCAGTGCTCACAGAGCAGTCTCTCTGAGAGCCACCCACAGGCATCCCATGTTCCAAAAAGAGAAGTCGCTGAGACTGGAGGTGGAGACGAGTCTGGACCCTGCTCCCCACCATAGATACCAAGGCAGCAGAATTGCCAGCCTCACATGATCCAGCTCAGCTTTCAGTGCGGTCTCACCTCAGAAGCCCCAGGAAGTTCCCTTTCATCAGGTCCTGGGCCAGGTGAAACCACAGCACAGACAGGTGGACAGATATGGGACCTGCCCCTGTTCCTCCTTGGCCCACATGGCTGTGCAAGCACCTTCACCTGGCAGCCCTCCTCAGACAGACAGCCGGGCACCCCCTTCAGTTTGTCTCATTTGCTGGAGCTGGAGCACAGGGGCCCCAGGGGCAGCCCTGCCTGGGGGTCAGAGTCAGACATGCCTGGGTTCCCATCTCACCTCTGACAAAGGCAACTCTGAGCCTCAGTGGCCTCACCTGTAAAATGGGATGATAATCCCTCAGTGAGGTCTAGCACTATCTTCACATAAAAGCTGGACCATTTCCAGGAAGCTGTGCCCTCTGCCTGTCCTTAGCAGCCTACCTGGCTAAGGACACAGATGCATCTCAGGACTGCCCTGGGGACTTGGGGCGCAGAGGCACCTGTCGGTCCCCAAGCAAGCCCTGAAGAGAAGTAAAGGGCCTTCCTTGCCAGTAAGGGGCTCCACTGCTCCTGTGCATGACCTTAAGGCAAATGTGACCCAAACTGTGAGCTCCAGGGGAGGGAAGAGGGGATCACGCAGACACAGGCTGACAATGAGCAAGAGGAAGGAAACTTGCAGGAACACCTCAGCATTGGCTAAGGCGACAGAAAAACAAGTTAGGCAAGGCCCTGCATCCAGTGATTCTGGGTCTGGGTTTGCACAATTCCTGGCTGGCTGGCTAGGGCTCTCTAACAACCAGAGGGCAGTAGGGCAGCCACTAACTGTGGGGGAAACCTGCACCCACCCTGCTCCCTCTCATGAGGCCACCCCTCCTTTACGCTCCCTGAAGCACTCTCCCACGACTTGCACCCCCTTTTCACATCTTCTATCTTCCCAGAGATGCTCCTGACCTCCTCCCATGGCATCTGCTGACAGCATCCCCCTCAACCCCTTGCACAGCCACAGAAGGCAGTCAGGGTAGCAAATCAGGGCTGGGTGCAAAACAAGAGCAATATATTCCCTATCACCTCTGTTCCTTGAGATAAGATCCCAAGGAAATGACCGAAAAGAAAAATCAAAGTTCAAGTGCATTCACAACAGCCCTGCTTACAACAGCAAAACATCAGGAAAGTCCCAGCAATGGAGAAACTGCAAACAGAGGCCCACTGGGAGGGAACATACTTGAACTAAGGGTGCGTGGGCCAGGTGAGCTGGGGAGTGAAGCTGGAGCTGCAGCTCTGGGTCCTCAGGACCTCGACATTGAGCAAGAAGACAGCAGAACACACACTTTAGAACACGGGACATGTGCGGAAGGAAACCTGAAGACATGTCAACTCAGCTCCTCTTGCTAGTTCCTGTAAATTTCCTGCAAATTTGCATGAGGCCACAGGAGCCCAAGGAGTCAAGAGGTGTGAGATAAACCTGGCGCTGGACAGAGACTACTTTCTGGCAGAGCCTCCATAGGGGCAGCCACAAGTCCCTGGAGTGGGTTCCAGAAATGAGTCCCGACCTGCACCGGCTCTGACTTCCTTGGGCCGGGCTGGGGAAGGAAGAACTCTTTAAAATAAGGCAACCTGGCATCACTGTCCTATTCAGTGGGGACAGAAAGTTATCCCTCCTACTGTCCTGTGCACACACCAGTCCTTACCCAGGAAGTCTTCCCACTTCTGGCTAAGAAAAGCTATCACACACTGTCCTTCCTGCCATGTTCCCAGAGTCCCCTCTCCACGCGCTACTCCTGCACCCAGAGCTCCTCCAAGTCAATGACCAGGAAGGTAACAGCTTCCTTCGCCAGCCCTCAGGTGAAGCTCTGAATTTTATCAAAAGAAGGAAGAATTGCTAATGGACAGTGGGGGTGGAGGAGACAGGCAACAAAACCTCAAAGATAAGCCACCACACAGCACAGACTAGCAGCGGGCCCCACATCTTCTTCTCTATAAAAATCGGTGAGCAAGTCAACATCTACTCCCTCCCTCAGGTCCCCACCTGTCCCTGTGGTCCTCGTTAGAAGCTCAGCATGCAGAGGGGAAAATGCTGCATGAATGCAACTTCAGGACCTGAGGTGCTGGTTCTATGTTCACTCACTGCTTACTACTCCCTGCTGTGAACACCCTATAGGGCCCTAGCCTGGGGTCTAAACCCCTACACCTTCTGCAGGTCTCATCTTTAGCCTCTTGTTACCTCTTCCTCCAGGAAGCCCTCCTGTGCCAGGCCAGCCCACAGTCCAACCCCCTGCAACACCCTGAGACATGCCTGGCACAAGTCCCTCTGCTCAGGCCAGAGCCTTACTTTAGCCACATACTTGGAGCTTGGAGAAACACAGGTCCCTCCCCAGGGCCAGAGAGACCTGGGCAAATCCCCACCTCACTGGGCCTCAGATCCTTTGTCACCTGTAATGGGGGTTGGCTCGGACCTTCTGATGCTTCAATCCCTGACTTTGAGGTATGGAGATCCAAAGAAAGACCGGTGATGAGGAAGTTACAAAATTACTTGCTACCACTTATCAAGCACTTATCAAGAGGCTCACAGCAGCTTCATGGAGCAAGGATGATGACTGTCTCAGTCCCACAGGTAAGGAACCTGAGGTCTAGGGGGTCAGCTCTTTGCCCAAGGTCACCCAACTGAGCCATGATGCAGCTTGAGTGTTCCTGCCTCCAAAGTCCATGTTCTCGCTCCTTCCCCTTGACGTAACAACAGCTGTAGCCCCCTAGTTAGGACAACACAGTCTGAACACAGGCTGGCCAGAAGCACAAGAGAAGGGGCCTGGGCCTCCACACCTCCAGAAGAGTCTGGAAGGAGGGCTGGCAAGGGTGTGGCCCAAAGTCCCTTAGGACTGAGTATTGACTGGAAAGCATGGCCCCAGGGCTAAAAGCAGGATCAATTTCAGCATCGCACAAGACCTGCATCATGGTCAGAGTCATGACCCACCAAAATGTCTGGTCAAAGCCACAGCCACCCTTACCAGGACCCACAGCGTCTTAAGAGATACACACACTCCTCTCCAAGGACACAGAAATCATGGTCAAAGCCAAGGCCCCCAAGCTAGCCTCAAAGCAAGACAAGAACCATGCATTCACTCCTCTCACGCCCAAGCAGAAGTCAGAGGGGCACGGAGACCCAAGCATATAACACAATCTCCTGACTGCCATTTCCAAATCTGTACCAGCAGTTGGACTAAATGTTCTCTGAGGACCTTACCAATTTACAAATTCGTGACAATGTTGCAGTTACTCCTAAAATAAATCTTTGTTTTTCTTGGTAGTAAAAAAGTTGCAGACTCACTTAAGGACAAGCAGAAAGTCCATAAGGTGGATTAAACACCTAGGACCCCAGGAAAGGTGAGCCCTTTAACAATTCTAGGAGTTTCAACCTATCTCCTAGATGGTTTCCACCCTCCAATTTTACCTTACCCACAACTCCACACAGATGCTCACACACCCAGGGACACAAAGACAGGCCTATATAACACAGTGTACTCACTGTCTCTATGCTGAGCACATCTACATTTCCCTGAAATTCCTCCCAAAACTCGATTTCAGGCCCAGAGATGGGCCTTCCTCCCACCTTTGGGCCTTTGAAAGTTCCGAGCTCAGAGAAGCCAACCGATTCTCCTAGGGCCAACACAGCTCAGACCGGGGTCTGCCCACCTGGACCACTCTGGCCAGCAGCGAGGGTAGGACCGAGACTCCAAGCCCTCGTTTGGCCTGAGGCGGTGGGGATAGAGTGAGGTGTGAAAGGTCCGGCGTCCTCCCCGAGGTGATGGCGGCCAGACGTAGCCTCCGTCGTGCTGGGACGCCGCCACACACCTGTCCTCGCTTCCTGCTCTGCTACACCTGTCGCAGGTCCCCTACCTGTTCCTGCTCCCTTCCTATCAGTCACAGCAGCCTCACCTGTCGCCAGTTCCTGACCTGTTCCCGACTCCCTCTCCATACGAGACCACTACCCATCCCCATGCACCGACCTCCCCCTTGCCCGCGGACCCCGCCTCACCACCGCGCTGGCAGGCATGCAAAACGGGCCGCCCATTGCTGTACGGCATCCAGATCTTCTTCAGGGGGTTCTGAGTCAGTTCTCGTGGGGACGCCATCCTAGGGCTGGGATGAGTCGGACTGCGCCGCTTCCAAACCAGCAACCCGGCCACCTCGGGCCACTCGAAGCCCCGCCCCTCAGCCACGCCCCTCCTGTAGCCGCGAGGACGCGGATCCAACTCCCCGCAGGCCCCGCCCCAGAACGAGTCGGCTCCACCCCAACTGAAGAGGGCCTGACCTCCCACCACGCATGCCCAACTTCCATATGAGCCCATTTTGGACCAAGTGGGCCCGCCCTTCATGCCAGGATGGAGGACGCGCATGCCCAGCTCCCCACAGGTTCCAGGCTTGGAGAATGCAGGCCCCGCCCTGGATGCCGGAGCCCAGTAACCTAACCCGACCCCGCTGATTTGCATGGGCCTTGTCCTGGGCGCCGCAGCCTTGCCTCTTGCCCCCAGGACACCCGGGGTTCCACTCGTCGCTCTGCGGGACCTCAGGACCCCCGGCAGGAGGGGTTTGGATGACTTGGGGCAGGCCTGCGTGACCCGCAGAGCTTGGTTGGTCAGGACCAGCCTGGAGGACCCGGGCAACTCTGATCGCTGGCCTGGGTTGTCAATTGCCCCGCGCCCCGCCGGCCTTACGTCCCCGACCCTCTCGTCCGTTCCGAATCCTGGGACTCCACCCTGCCCACAGGAGCGACCTGCTGAACCACGCCAAAAAAGCTCCTTTATCTCCTGGACAGGGACACAAGAAAAATCTCAAAATTGATCGTGTTTCTCTCTGCCTTAGCTGCTGGGGAGCTGGGGCTAAACCCCAGCCCACCTAGAGCACGTGAATGGGACCTGGTAACGAAACTCTCTGGGAACTCACTGAGCCCTAGCAGTATCTTACTCCTTCCAGGACTTATTTTTACCAATTAAATTTTAAATTGTAAGTTCATTTTCTTCCCTCTAATAAGCCTCTCTCTCTTCATTAGGAAATTGGAATATGCACTGTCATCAACCTTACAAGATTCTGGTGTGGATGAAACATGTCAATGTCTGAGAAATCCATTCTAAAGCACATTCATGTTATCATTTATTACGTTACTTATCTCCCTCCTGTCTCTAGAAATGCAGTAGGGGCCAGGGAGAGATCCAGAAATTCAGGAAGCCCTGGCTCATTCTCTCATGTCCTCCTTCATCTGTCTCCTCAGCCCAGTCTCTCCAAGCTGTACACTTTCTGCCCCAGGCCTCGCCGAACACTGCTCGGGCCTGGGTCACACTGCCCTCTAGCGACGTCCTCCACCACATCCCCTGGCAGGATCACTGCATCCTCAAGTTCTCTCTGCCTACAGTGTGCCCAGCCTGGACCCAGGTGCTGAGGCAGAGAAAAGGCTCCACCCAGTGCACCATGGAGGCAGCACCCTCTCCGTCTGCCCTCCTTACCACACTCCTGCCTTTGGTCAGTCCTCCGAGTCACAGCCCAGCCCTTCAGTGTCTGGAAGGACCCCTAAGATGACAGATATGACTGATATAGATGTCTTGCCTACTTCACAGGAAGTAAAGGCTAAGGAGTTCCCCATGCTGGACGCCCACACAGATCTTCCCTGGAACCAGCTCTGGCCACCTACCCTGGGGAATGCCCTGCCTCAGACAAAGTCGATCACTTCCTCCTTCTTCATCCTCCTTCTTCAGCATCCACCCTCTACTTCACTCTGCCTCATGCCCAGCAGCTGGCACACCCATGGGCAGCTCCTGATGGGCAGGATGCCCCGAGTGACCTCTCGCCCACTTCCTACTTCTCCAAAGCCAGTCATTCTGTTCCTGACAGAGTCAGCCCTCCTGTCTGTCTCCTGGCCACTGCCAAGGCCATCCTGGGGTCACCCTGGCTTCAGTGACCTTGTCACCACACACCTACACACCCTGGCCAACCCTTAGCAACTCATGGCAAGACTATCTCCTCTAATACCACAGACACCCCGCACCTTCTCAGGCCCACTATCCTCCACCCCAGCCCTCTTAGAATTTTAGTCAAAGGCTGGGGGTAGCGAGCAGCCAGAGCAGGGGAGGAGGCCAGGGCCATGTCTAGGAAGCCATCCCCAAGTCCAGCAGTCTGAGTCTGGCTTTCCAGGAGAGGCAGTGGCTCTGCACCTCCCACTCTTCCCCGAACACTCTGACCCTGGGCTGACCCAGACATACTCTCCCAAGTTCCTATATCCAGTGTAGGAGCCTGTAGCCCCTTCCCAAGGCCAGGGTCTACATCTTCTCTAAGGATATATAGTCCCCACCACCCGGCCCCATTTCTCAGGAGGAAATTGAGGAAGGGGAGAAGGGCCCAGCGTCACAGAACTGCCAGCCCATGGTGCAGGATGGACTCAGCTCAACTCCCAGCCCTTTAAAACCTCACCTCCCACACCCTGTGCTATAACCACACATCCCTCCCTCACACCTGCGGTCTTGCACGTTCCCTCCATGGAAATGCTCTCCTGGCTTTCTGCCTCCCAGCCTCAACAGACATCCAGTAAAATAACTAGCCTCATGGCTTTTCCCCTTGGAGCCGTCCCAGAGTGAGCCAGCTCTCCTGGAGTGCGAGGTGTGCTGCGATGTCAGTGCGTACTTGTGTGCAAAACCTGTCCTGCTCAGCCTCTCCCCACCATGAACCTGCCTGGCCTGGCCCTGGAGGGCTCCTGTGGTACCCTCCACACTGACCACGAATCTCCTCCCAGTGTCCCAGGATACAAACTGTGGGGTGGCCGGAGTCTTCAATCCTCAGTTCTTAATGCTCAAACTCTTCTCAGTCCCCAAACCACCTTTTGCAGCATAAAGGCCCAGGGACCTCCATGCACACCGCCCAGACCCACACACCAGTGCATGAAAGCATAGTGTGTACACAGCCACGCGTGCACACACAATAACAAGTCCTGCACCCAGACCAGCGCAGAGACAGGCCAGCTGTGGTGAGGCCTGCTGCTCTCTGCTGCCTCCCTTTCCGTTTATTTCCCTCCTCCTCTCCCCTCTGCTGCCACTGAGAGGTTGGGGAGTTCCCAGGAGTTCCAGCTTCCTCTGGCCATTTCTAGCCAAGGATCAGCCCAGGTCTTCCTGGGTCCAGAGCTCCCCCAGGGTGTGAGGTTCCAACGTGGGGGTAGGTAGGGAGCCATGTGACCCAGCAGCCTGTTAACCTGGGTCAGCACTTGCTGATTCTAGCTGGCACAGGGCACACAGTAGGTGCTCAAAGTGACTCAGGACCAGCCAGGGAGTACAGAAAGGATTCAGAGAAGTTCCAGACTGGGCCAGAGCACACAGTAGGTGCTTAGACTATCTCAGGACCAGCTCACGGCACACAGTAGGTGCCCTAGACACACTGGTGTAAGGGCTTAAGTCACATCATATGAAAAACTTCCCAAACGAGCCTCTGGACTTCCCCAAACTGGTATGACCCCTGAGGGGGGACCTGGACAATCATGACCCCTTGGAGGCCAGCAAAGGGCAGAGCAGGAGGCCCCTGGGCAGCTCCAGCTGGCTGTCCCTCCCCCAGAGCTGGAGGAAGAAGCTATTTATAGTTCTCCCCCTTGGCCCAGCTCCCTCTCCCATGCAAGGCAACAGTGTTCCTCCTTCTCCATGCCACTGACAGACTGATGCCCCTTTAGGGCACCCCTATTCCTAGAGAGACCCCCAATACTTTCACACCCCTCCTAGCACCACCCCCACTTCGCCCAGGTCTTTTCCCAGTCCCCCCACCCTCTCCACCCTACCCTGTGCCTACCTGGCCTGCTGCTCTTTGACCCAGGGTCCGTCAGGGAACGGCCTCCTTCCGTGCCTTGATTCATCCTGCAATCAGACTGGCCTGGGCCGCCACCCCCTGCAGCTTGGATTCGGGCAACCCCGCCCTCCAGGCTTCGAAGAGCACAGCCTGCCTGGTGGCCCCGCCTCTCCAGCCCCGCCTTGGGCCCGCCCCCCCCAAGGCTGCTCACAACTCTGAGATCACCGTCAGTGCCCCCGGCCCTGGGCAGCCACACTTCCGACAGTACTGCCTCTCTCTGCAGCCAGAGCCCACTGTCTGCCCTCGTCCCCAGCTGGAGTTGTCTGCACTACCCAGAGTACCTGCCCCATCTGCAGGCAAGCCTGTCCACACTCTCCATAAGGTCTATCTCATCTCCAGCCCAGCAATGGAGTTGGGGTTGTGAGATTAGGCAAAACGTACTCCTTTCAACCGAGGGACAGGTCAGTGAAATTTGGGAGGGGTGGAGTGGGTAAAGGGGCAGCGTAGCCAGCTAGCTGTGACTCAGCCCTTGTGTGTCACTGCCTGGATGTACATGACAGTGATTTTTGCCTATCCCATTCTCCAGTCACTACATTTATTGAGTGCTTATTGCATGCCAGAACCTTCACGTTTGTTAACTCAATACTCACAAGAAGCTTGGCATCACTCTGCTTCACAGAGGAGGAAACTGAGGCTTGGAAAGGTGAGTACATTTGCTCAGGACAGTTCAATGAGGGAGGGGCAGTTGGGCCGGTGCCCCAGCAGCCTGATCCCCTCTGCCCCGAGGTCTGTGTGTTGAATGAAGGGCGGAACCCGGGTAATGCAGGGGTGTGGGGAAGACAGTGCCCGGCTGTGTGCTGAGCGTGCTTCATGCAGGTTTAGGGGACAAGCCCCTGTTCCTCCCAGCCCCCTCACATGCCCTCACCTTGCTCAACACACATTCACAGTTGTCAGATACACAAAGACGCAGACACACATGCAGGCACACCCTGCCCACCCCCACAAGACAAGGTTGCCACAGCCACAGACCGCCCACGTATGACCATCCATCCTTGCCTGGAGATGCCCCTGACAGCCCCATCCATCTGGGGTGGATGCCGCCTCATGGGGCACGAAACATGCATGTGACCCTCTGCCAGCACTTCTCTGTGTGGCGACCTGTGGGTGGCAGGCAGATCTATGGATCTGGTCTTGGGTGGGCTGGTCTCCAATGCAATGATGGGCTCTAATGTTGAGGTTCATGAAAGTGGCATGACAGTGACCACATGTGAGGGTGTCCAGATGCTCTGATTGTGGGACCCAGGCATGACAGGACTCCACATGGTAGTGAACTTCCATGGTAGTGTCCAAGCTGCCCAGATAGACTGTAAGTCTGTGGGGCTCCTAGGAGTGCCTAGGCTCCACTTGGCGACCCGACATGGTAATGTCCAGGCTGTCCAGACCCACTATCACTGAGGCAATCCGATGTGATGTGACACCACACAGCAGTGACCCCAGATGGCGGAGTCCAGAGGCACCGTGCCCAGATGTAGTACTGCCCAGCTCCGCCACTGCCCTCTGGGTCTCCCCATCCAGGGTGGCTCCATCACTGTGACCCCTCCCTCAGGCTCAGCGGCGGCCAATGTGGGCCAGGATGCGGGCGTTGGCAGCAGCTTGCTCCCGCGCAGCCCTGGCCTGGGCCTGCTCCAGTAAAATCTGCAGGAGGCCAAGGGGTACATCCAACGATAGGGTGATGCGGGGACCAGGGCGGGGGCCAGGGCTGGGGTGGCCCCAAGCAGCAGAGAGGCCTGTGGTGCTGGCTGAGGGGCTCTCCGAGGTCACAGGGCAGGGAGTAGCCTGGGGAAAGTTCTCAGGGAGGAGCTGGAAGGCTGGGATAGGGGTTGCTGGGACAGGCAGGGTCCTGCCCAACGTCAGGACCATCAGCACCAGCAGAGCCCAGCTGGTCATCGTGTGGTCAGGCTGCGAGGAGAAAACAGGCTCAGGGCAGGGGCTCTGGTCAGCCAAGGCCCATGGACAGAGACAGAGGAGGAAAGGAGAGAGACTGAGAGACTGAGAGGGAGAGATGAGAGCAGCCAGGTCCGAGACAGACAGAGATAGAGATAAGATGAAGGGACAAGACGAGAGCCAGAGGGAGACAGAAAATCAAGACAGAGCCAGACAGAGAAGGGGTCAGAGAGACAGAAAGAGTGAGAGAGAGAAAGAGATAAAGAGACACAGAAACCCCAGGACAGAGAGCCACAGACACATCTAGATGCAGATGTATTTTAGAGAGAAAGATGGGGGAGGAGAAAGAGGAAGAACAAGAACCAGAAGAACAGGAAGAAGAAAGGGAAGGAAGAGAAGAGGGAGAAGGGGAGAGAGATGGGGATGAATGAGAGGGAGGCGGAGCCAAAGAGAGGGAGACTGGGAGAAAAAGACAGAAACCACCCCAGAGACATAGTGCTGGAAACAAGGAAGCAAAGGGAGAGAAACACAGAGGGACAGAAGGAGACTGAGGTCTGAGAAAGCCTGTAGCAGATCCAGGATAAAGAAAGGCAGGAATAGGGGGGTCCCTGAGGTGGAGAAACAGCCAGAGACCCCAGGGTACCCCCAGCTCCAGAAGCCTCCACTGACCCAAACCCCAGATCCACTCAGCCCCAAAGGTCCTGCCCTCTCCCGGATCCCAGTCCTACCAGTAGCAGCCTCCTCTGGGGTCTGCTGGGACCGCCGTGGCTGCCCCTCTGCCCTCTTCAGGGCCCATTTATCTCCCTCAGTCCCTGGGCTGAGAGCTGGGGCCTGTCTCCTGGCATGAGGCAGCCCATCACCTATGATTCATACCCTCCTGGGGGGCAGTGAGGACATATCCTCAGCCCCTATACTGTCTACTTCTTTTGGGGACAAGTTAGGGACTGAGAGTCACAGGAGAGTGACCAGGGCTGGACAGAGGGACTCTGGACCCACACAGGATAGTACCAACCTCCCAGGGAAAACCTGCCCTCCTGACACCCCCACCTCCCCAAACAGTCACAATAGGGGCCTTTTAAAACAGCAGCTTTAATGCCCCCCCCCGAATCAGCACCATGTCATCACAGGCTTGGGTCAAAGGGTGGGTAAGATGCAGTCACATCCACTCACTGCCCACAGCCACCCCCACACTGAGTCATCTGCCAGGGAGGCAGGAGCCATAATGGGGGTTTGTCCACAGAGGGGAAGGCTAGACCTACAGAACAAATCACTGAAATAACGGACACGCTCATGCACGCTCACGTGCACACAGGCTTCTAGCACCAAGGGGAGGGACAGCAGGGTCCAGCTGAGACACCACCTCTCCAGGGGACGCTGAACTTCAGCTCATTTTCTGGCCTCAGCTCCGGGCAGCACCTGGCGGGCCGGTTGGGAGTTGTCGTCAGCCGTCTGACCTTACCCAACACGTAGGCACAGAGAAGCATGAGGCAGAGAATGGATGGGGAGCTGGGAGCGTAATGGGAGTGGGGGCTGTGCCCTCAGAGAGGGGTCCTGCCTCAGCTCTTTCAGGGAGGGAGCCCCGAGGGGGTCCATGCTGGGAACCTACAGCTGAGGTTCTCTAGTCAGCTCTTTCCTCTGGGGGTCTGTCTCAGGCCCCCCAGTCTGAGGGCTTCTGACCCAGGACCTGCCCCTGGACGTGATCTGGGTGGGTTCAGTGCCCAGGCCCCTAATGGGGTTGGGGGGAGCCTCTACCTGTTCCCTGGCTCTGGGCCATCCGGGGCGGGCAGCGGCGCTCACAGGCCTCACGGGTCCCAAAACGGTTGGCATTCCCTCCGCAGCCACCATAGACAAAGGGGTGACAGGCCTCCATGCCACCTGGCATAGCTCGATGGTACCAGCGCAGGGTGTAGGCAGTACAGGAACCCTCGTCCAGTGGAAGAGAGCAGGGGTCTGGGGCTAATGGGGGTCAAAGAGGTCAGCAGGGATGGGCTCTGCCTGCCCCTCCCCCAATCCCTATGGGCCCAGTCCCCTTTCTCACCGTCACCATCCCATGGAGCCTCAGGGTCCTGGTATTCCTCCACGGAATACTCAGAGTATTCATACTCATCGTCCTCGGGGGGCAGCCGGCCTGCACGCACCGTGGGGTGTGCTGTGAGCAGGGCCACTGTGGGGCCAGGTTCATGCTGCCCAACCTTGGCCCTTGGGGCAGAGCGGGCAGCACGGGTCTCCCACGCGTGTGCGCAAGAGTGTTCCCTGCATTTGGACCCCACGCGTGTGGCACAGGCCCTGCCCCCGTGAGCAGCCCTGTGTATGTCTGCGCGCCCCCCACGCACTCATGGCTCCAGCCGTCCTCACCTTCCTCCTCGGCATGAGAGACACGGAGCACAGGCACAGCATGGAGCTGGGGGCCAGCGGTGTCTGCAGCATAACTTGGGAGGGGTCCTGGAGCCAGGAGCAGGGGCCCTGGGGTCAGCTTGGTGGCCACCCCAGCCAAGCCCCAGCTGAGAGGACCCAGGTGATGGGCACCGCAGGGCGGGGGTGAGGAAAGTTTCGAGAGCAGAAAAGAACAGAAAACTACTCACGTGATCCAGATGCGATAAACTGGCCCTGGCAGGCTGGAGGGGGCAGAGAGGGGCAGGGAGAGAGACAATGGCAGAGAGCAGGAGACACAGATGGAGAGAGAGAGACAGGGAGAGACCCGGTCAGGGGCCAGCAGGCACAGAGACAGAGTGAAAGCAGCACAGACAGAGATGGAGGGAGACAGAGCTTCACTCTCCGATGACTCTCAGGGCCATCAGCGCCCCCACCCCACCCCAGCTCCATGTCAGGCCCCGAGAAACAGCTCTGCTCACACCTCCACCCCTTCTACACACTTGACCAAACTGGGCATCCAGAACACTACCTGTCCATCCATCTCTGCCTGTGTCTCCTGTCACCATGTCTGTCCTGAGGCACCTGTGTCCTTCTGTGTATCCATCCATCTCCACCCACCTCCTTGGCTGCTTGCCCCCTGGAAGTTCTGGGGATGCTGCCTCCCCTGTCTAGGGGCACTGGGATGAAGTGGGGATGGGACCCAAGAGACTCTGGGCTGGGCCCCACTTACCGCAGTGCTGACTCATCTCCTGACGCACAAGGCCCCGAATGTCATCCTCCTAGGAGATCAAGACCACAAGGGTCACGAAGAATCCATGGATCACAGAAAGACAAAGGGTATATGATGCAGGGATCACGGAAGGACAGTGCTGAGTCAGAGGCCCGGGGGTGAGGGTATTGGGTACAGGAGGCAGGGCCCCAGCCCCGCAGCCCCACACTCACTGTCAGTGCAGCTTCTCCCTTCTCACCACGGGGGCCCAGGGGTCCTGGCCGCCCCTGTGTGCAATGGATGGGACCAGGCTGTGACCTCTGATCTCAGGGACACCACTGGTCACCCCAACCTTTGACTTCAAACCCAGGAATCCCCACTCACCTGCTCCCCTCTCTCTCCAGGGGTGCCAGGGGCCCCAGGGGCCCCCACCACACTCTCTCCAGGGGGACCTCGCTCACCCTGTCAGACACAAGGACTGAGTGAGCAGGGTCAGAGGCAGTGGAGATCAGAAGTAGGACAAGTTGGGATCATAGGTTCAGAGGTTGGAGCAAGGATATTGGGGGGTGGGTTGCAGAGTCAGAGGTCAGGGAGGTTGGAAGCGTCATGGAGGTTCAGGGGTCAGGAATCAGAGTCAGGACCCCTCACCTTCTGGCCCTGAAGTCCTTCAGGGCCTTTGGGACCAACACTGCCAGGTGGCCCAGGGGGACCACTGGAGCCATCATTGCCTCTGGGACCTGGGAAGCCTCCAATTCCTGGGGGTCCCTGGGGAGAAATAGGTCAGGGTCAGTGATCAGAGCTTCCAAAGATGACCTCAATTCCAAAGAGTACAATCCCCTTAGTTTACCATGACCTTGGCCTCAACTTACCCGCTCCCCTTTCTCACCCTGGTCACCCTTGGGTCCTGGCTGCCCATCAAAGCCTCGATCACCCTAGAAACAAAGAAGCATGAGAGACCCTCTGCCCTGGCCTCCCTCAGCTGAACCCCCATAAGCCCCCCAGGCCCAATGCTCACAACCTCAAGCACCTGAGCCTGAGACCCTCAATCTGCCATGATCCCCATGACCCCGACCCCACTGTGACATCCCTTGCTCTGCCTCTACCTACTTCCTTCACACTGACACACCAGCCTCCTCCACTGACCCTACCCACTGTAACCCCTGAGCCCTGAGGCACCTGTCCCCACTTGCTCTACCTCTCATCCCCTAATCCTAAATCTCCACTGTGATCCCAATCCACCCTGAAACCTCAAGACCAGCCCCACTCCACCCCTCAATGTCCCAACTTACCACAACCTTCCTTGACCTAAAACCTCCACAACCTTACCGTGCCCTTCCCTACCCAGTCCCAACCCCCCACAATGTCCACTGTTGAGAGACGCCATACCTTGGGACCGATCAGGCCCTCCTTCCCAGGGGCCCCTGACTGGCCCGGGACACCTGGCTCCCCCTGGAGAAGAGAAGACATTAGCCAGGCCCTGGCTCACCCATTCTCTCCTCACTCTGGGGGTGCCCCACACTCACCATGTCTCCTTTGCGTCCTGCCAGCCCCGGGCGACCCGAGGGACCTGCTTCTCCCTGTTGGCATCAGGTGGAAGGGTCCACATTAGGCCCCAGGCCCCATAGCCCCCTACATCTCAGCCCACACCCCCCATCACCCCTGTACCTTATCTCCCTTCTCTCCATCCAGACCACAGGCTCCCTTAATCCCCCGTTCACCCTGAAGGACAAAAGAAGTGAAAAAGTGACTTCCAGATAACTTACCCTATAACCCGTTGACCCTGAAACCACTCTCCAAACTGGCCTTAGATCCTCCAGCCTCTGACCTAACACCTCACATACAACCATGGATACTCCCAACATCTGAGCCCAGATAACTGACCTGTGACCCCATATACCTCACCCTCCAACATTAGGCCCTCCTGACCAGGGGTAAAAAACCAGTCCCTTTCTCACCTTGAGGCCCCGGGGACCCATAAAGCCAACATCTCCTTTGTCTCCTCGGACACCAGGGGCTCCATCCTTTCCTGGGGATCCCTGGGGCAAAAAGGATCAGTGTGAGGTCAGGGGAGGTCAGTGAGGGATCA